GTCTTTTAGCCGTATCAAACTTAATCAAAAATAGACTTCAAGAACAAATTTAGACAGTTTGCTGCAAGAAGTGCCGGACCAACGGTGTTGTAGTGGGCCGCTCCAAGCAGCAGCCTGTTGGACCAAGCTATCTCAAGTCGAGCCTGGCCCCGAACCGGGCTCGAAGAGTAGAAGAACTCCCATGAACCCATCCAGGTAAGGTCCAGGTACACCTCGACGTGACCTCACCAGATACAATAGTCTTGCTAAGGTTGCTCGCCTCCAGTACTGCCCCTTTAAGGCACAGGCTAATTCAGGCAAGGTACTGATGAGGCGTTCTGTTCCAAAGCTGAACGTTCGAAGTCAATGCTGAACGTTCTATACGAAGGCTGAACGTTCGATGTCAAAGCCGAACGTTCCATACCAAAGCTGAACGTTTTAAACCAAAGATGAACGTTTTAAACCAAAGATGAACGTTTTATACCAAAGCTGAACGTTTTAAACCAAAGATGAACGTTCCATACGAAAGCTGAACGTTTTAAACCAAAGATGAACGTTCCATACCAAAGCTGAACGTTTTATACCAAAGCTGAACGTTTTATACCAAAGCTGAACGTTTTATACCAAAGCTGAACGTTCTATACCAAAGCTGAACGTTCTATACCAAAGCCGAACGTTCTATACCAAAGCCGAACGTTCTATACCAAAACCGAACGTTCTATACCAAAGCTGAACGTTCGATGCCAAAGCTGAACGTTCTATACCAACCTTGAGGTTACCTTGAGGTGCTTCCGGGGCTTAGCGTCCCCGCGGCCCGGTCGTCGACCAGGCCTCCTGGTTGCTGGACTGATCAACCAGGCTGTTGGACGCGGCTGCTCGCAGCCGGACATATGAGTCACAGCCTGGTTGATCAGGTATCCTTTGGAGGTGCTTATCCAGTTCTCTCTTGAACACTGTGAGGGGATTGCCAGTTATGCCCCTTATGTGTAGCGGAAGCGAGTTGAACAGTCTCGGGCCTCTGATGTTGATAGAATTCTCTCTCAGAGTACCTGATGCACCTCCGCTTTTTAACGGGGGTATTCTGCACATCCTGCCATGTTTTCTGGTCTCATGTGATGTTATTTCTGTGTGCAGGTTTGGGACCAGCCCCTCTAATATTTTCCACGTGTAAATTATTATATGTCTCTCCCGCCTGCGCTCAAGGGAGTACAGATTTAGGCTCTTTAGTCGGTCCCAATAGTTTAGGTGTTTTACTGAGTGGATTCTAGCAGTAAAGGCTCTCTGCACGCTCTCCAGGTCAGCAATTTCTCCAGCTTTGAAAGGGGCTGTCATTGTGCAGCAGTACTCCACTCTAGAGAGCACAAGCGTTTTGAAAAGTGTCATCATCGGTATAGCATCTCTAGTGTGAAAAGTTCTTGTTATCCAACCTGTCATTTTTCTTGCAGTTGTGACGGCTACTTTATTGTGTTCTCTAAAGGTAAGGTCTTCCGACATGAGTACACCCAGATCCTTTACGTTGCCTTTACGTTCTATGTTATGATTTGCCTGAGTTTTGTACGTGGTTTCCGTTTTTATATTTTCATTTTTTCCATAGCGCATGAGCTGGAACTTATCTTCGTTAAACACCATATTATTTTCTGTAGCCCATAGAAAGACCTGATCTACATCTGACTGGAGGTTTGCCGTGTCCTCTATGTTGCCTACTCTCATGAAGATCCTAGTGTTATCTGCAAAGGATGATACAGTGCTATAGGTTGTGTTCTTGTCTATGTCCGATATGAGGATGAGAAAAAGTACTGGAGCAAGCACAGTACCCTGGGGAACTGAGCTCTTCACGGTTGATGGGCTGGATTTTATTTTGTTGACTATTACACATTGGGTTCTGTTGGTCAGGAAATTGTAGATCCATCTGCCTATTTTTCCGGTAATTCCTTTTGAACGCATTTTATGTGCAATAACGCCATGGTCACATTTATCAAAAGCTTTTGCGAAGTCTGTGTAAATTACATCAGCGTTTTGTTTGTCTTCCATAGCATCTAATGCCATATCATAGTGGTCGAGCAACTGCGACAGGCAAGAGCGCCCTGTTCTGAAACCATGTTGTCCGGGGTTATGGAGATGCTGTGATTCCATGTATTTTGTGATCTTACTTCTTAGCACTCTCTCAAAAATTTTTATAATGTGCGATGTTAGTGCTATCGGTCTGTAATTTTTTGCCTCTGCCTTATTTCCTCCTTTATGAAGTGGTGCTATCTCTGCTGTTTTTAGTATATCAGGAATAACGCCAGTATCTAGGCTTTGTCTCCACAGAATGTGGAGGGCCTGCGATAGTGTTTGTTCACAGTTCTTGATGAATATGGAGTTCCAAGAATCCGGGCCTGGTGCAGAGTGCATAGGCATACTATTTATGGCTTCTTCAAAATCCAGTGGGGATAGGGTGACGTCTGATATATGATTTGATGTTGGTATCATATCCATGAAAAATTCATTTGGGTTATCAATCTTTAGTGCGTTTAATGGCTCACTGAAAACAGAGTCGTACTGCTTCCTCAGTAGCTCGCTCATTTCTTTGTTGTCATCGGTGAAAGTTCCATCTCCCTTTCGCAGGGGCCCGATACTAGATGTGGTTTTTTATCTTGATTTTGCATAGGAGAAAAAATATTTCGGATTTCTCTCTATTTCACTGATGGCCTTTTCCTCTCCTGGGTTTTGTATGATTCTTGTAGCTTGCGTTCAATTGTTTCTATTTCTTTACCTAACCTTCTTCGCCGTTCTTGAGATAGGGTGCGACTCTCAAGTTGTTCCGCGATTCGTTTTCTTCGTCTATATAGGGAACGACGTTCCCGTTCCAATCTGCATCTCTTCCTCTTTTTTCTTAGGGGTATGCGGTTTGAACATATTTCTAGTGCTACTGAGCTTATTTTTTCCAGGCACTGGTTCAGGTTTGCATTTTCTAGCTGTTCTGCTGTTATAGCTATTTCTAGCTATAGCTGTTCACCAAAGGTGAACTTTCTATACCAAAGCTGAACGTTCTATACCAAAGCTGAACGTTCGATATCAAAGCCGAACGTCCATACCTAAGGTGAACGTTCGATGCCAAAGCGAGTCATCGGTGGTGAGGTATCAGAGAGTGAGCGGATGGCAAGATGCCTGCCACACTCTCCACACCTCACAGTGTAGCAGAATGTCTCAGTGTTGGGCAATGTGATATAGTCATTGCGCGAATTCGCCTTGGCTATAGACACATCTGGCAGGTTAGTGAGGCTGAGCCACTACCAGAATATTCAGATTGTAAACTCTGTGATAAGCCTCTAATGCATTCACTAGAACACTATATTGATGAATGCGAAACCGTAAAAGATTTTAGACCTCCTGGCCTATTGTACCACCAACTGTGTAACTATTTCATTGACTGAAGTGTCCTGGACGACATCCTAACCATTTATGCAAAATTTGCTTATCCATTTTAAAGAATGAAGAATTTTTTTATTTATGTTACTTCTAAGCTGCATCACTTATGAACCCATCCCGGCCCTTGTATGGCAGGGCAAAATAAAAAGCTGTTTTTACATATTCATGCTTTAAAACATTGATTGTAACTGATATATATGTGCTAGTTTAGACCTATTGTCTTATGTATGACCCTCTGTCCTGCGTGACAGTGAATACCAGCATTATCCTCACTTTAATAAGGCTTAATTGAAATCCTCAGATTAGGCAAAATTGTAATTAATTTTGTCAAAATATATGTTAATAATAATAATAATAATAATAATAATAAGTGTTGAGGCGGAGAGAGAGAGAGAGAGAGGTTGGCTCACCATGTGTGGATATCTACGGGCTCACCATAGCCCGTGTTACTTGGAACTTTTTGTTCCAGGTAGCGAATCATTAACAACAACATGTGTGGGTGGAGAGCTTGGGTGGAGGCTGGTCTGGGAGGAGAGTTAACCCTCACACTCTTGGTGGCTCAGCCCGCCACCGAACCCCACTTATTTGCCCAGATGTTTAGGTTGTAAGGTTGAGTGATGGTTGTGTTCTGGGAAATCAGTTTGCTGATAAGTCAGGATTTGCGTCATGTCCTCTTTGTCATGTTGCAGGAGGAATTGATCTTAGGTAATTCCTAAGTAGTAGGCATCCATCAGTCTCGGGAGACTACGGAGTTGCTCTCTGGTTGTCGGTCTGGAGTGGCCTCTCCAGGGCACAAAGGCAAGGTAGATTGATATGGGGAAATAATTATAGGTAAATAGGTAAATGTCTTACCGATATTTACGAGTGGGGCGAGGTAGTTATGGAGGGGAAACTTTGAACGTGTGGTTGGATATTACACTGGTAAAGTAATTATGAGGAGAAAACTTTTAGACTTTACGACAATATATCAATCGAAAGGGATTCGAGGACAAGGATCTTGGATACGACGAAGGAAAGGAGTCGCTCTCAACCACTTGGACTCTGGCGGATCGAACTCCGTAACCCGTCCTCGTACTAGAATGTCGCAATTTGACGCATACTTTACCTAAGGCCAAAGATGGTCTTACTAGAAAACAGTAGCGACTCGCAAAATTGACATACTGTTCCGTTTTCTGTTTTGGGCCTTCTGGTAGGTTAGGATAAGAGCACTTTTGAACGACAGTTTCTTGACGTTGGGGAATCGTAGGAGGACGGCCGCCCGACACGTAACGCTCAACACGTAACGCCCAACGCGTAAGGCCCAACGCGTAACGCGTAACGCCCAGTGCGTAACGCTCAACGCCCAGCGCTCAACGCGTAACGCCCAGCGCGTAACGCTCAACGCGTAACGCCCAGCGCGTAACGCTCAACGCGTAACGCCCAGCGCGCAAGGTCCAGCGCGCAAGGCCCAGCACGTAACACACAACACTGGTGATTTGGCTACACTTCCGATGTGGTCATGGGTCGATGCGTCTTACTGGTGCCCCAGAGGCGATGCCCTTGGCAAGGGTACCAGCTCCTCCAATAGAAGCAAAGAAAAAAAATCGAAATAAGTAAAAGAATTAAAAAGTTCACGAGAAATAATTGTGAAGGGAGGCGTTACCTCCACGGCCTGCGTCCTGCTCGCAGGTGATGTTACTTACCTCGCTTGCGTCTGCCGGCGCGTGCTGCTGCTCCTGCGAGACCTCCAGGAACACTTTCTGCCAGGGGACGTAGTCAGGCTCCTGATCGTACCTCAGACTACGAGCGTACCGCAGGAAGCGGGGGAACGCCTCTGGCATGCCAGCGAAAATGTCCTCCGGTCTGATTCTCTCCTTGATCTTGGCGATGCGTCTATGACTCATCATCTTGAGGCGCATGCGCGACCAGGGCAGGCCCCCCAGCAGGAGCTTGGCGGCGGTGTAGGCCAGGGACTCCATGTCGTCCCGGCGCGACGGTTGTCCCTGTCTGTGGCAGCTGATGCTCATGTAGCCTCGTGTTCCCTTCTGGCACGCCTTCTCCCCGCGCGGGAGGTGCTCGCCGCTCTTGTTGACGTACCGCGTCGTCAGACCGAAGTCTATCAGATACACTTTAAAGCAGCCGTTTATGCTGTTATCGGGGTCGCAGACGATGTTGTGGGGCTTGATGTCCCTGTGGACGTACCCGGCGTCGTGCACCTGACGGAGGATGCCCAGGATCTGCACCAGCAGGAGACTGATGGTCGCCACGGAGAGAACGCCGCCCTCGCTCACAGCCACAGCCTTCAGGTTGGGGCCCTTCATGTCCATCGTCATTGCACTGTTGTTCCTGAAGCTGAAGAACTCGTAGGCGGCAGGCACTCCGTCAACACCAAGGGCTTCCAGGTGTTTGAGAATGCCGAACTCCGCCTCGAGGGCGTGCCTGCCCTCCTTCTCCACCTTGAGGGCGAGGGTGGAGTTCCTCCTCATATCGAACACGCTGTAGGCGTTGCTGAAGCCGCCTTTGCCAAGCTTCTCAAGCACCATGTACCTGCCGCCCACCACGTCCCCGTTGCTATATTCCTCGTCGCTCACCGCCTTCTCCCGGCCGCCCACCGCCTGCTCCCGGCCGCCCAACTTTTTCCTGGTACGGTGCTTCGGGTTATCATTCGACATTTCTAGTGTTATTATTTAAAAACAACTTTTAAAGAAACAAAAAAAGTTTAAATTTGTTTAAAAATAATTTCGGAAAAAATCTGAACTATGTGACATAATGGGGGATGAGGCTCATAGCTGACCCAAGCAAGCTGTGCTCGTCCAAGCACCACCCAACCCCAGGATCATCTTCTGTAATTTAAACATTACTGTGTTGCCTAAATTCTCCCCCTGGCTCTGCCTGTCTCCTTCCGCCTCTCTCACTGCATCTCTGTCTCCCTGTCTATGTCTCCCTCTGGCTCTGTCTGTCTCACTCCGTCTCTGTCTCCCTGTGTCTCTTCTTGAGGTTATCTTGAGATGATTTCGGGGCTTTTAGTGTCCCTGCGGCCCGGTCCTCGACCAGGCCTCCACCCCCAGGAAGCAGCCCGTGACAGCTGACTAACACCCAGGTACCTATTTTACTGCTAGGTAACAGGGGCATAGGGTGAAAGAAACTCTTCCCATTGTTTCTCGCCGGTGCCTGGGATCGAACCCAGGACCACAGGATCACAAGTCCAGCGTGCTGTCCGCTCGGCCTACCGGCTCTCTGTGTCTATTTCTCCCTCTGTATCTGTCTCCCTCTGTCTCTGTCTCTGTCTCTCTCTCTCTGTCGTTTTCTCCGCGTTTCCCTGTGTCTCGCTGTGTCTCTATCTCCCTCTGTAGTCTCACGTGTCTCGAGAAACTCACACTTCACAATTGTATACAATTTGGACGTACAATATGTGTTTTTTCCTGTCGGCCACAGACGGTTTTTGCACTTGGGGAAACCCGTCCTAAAATGTACCAAATACTGGAAACACTGTATGGGATGTGTTCGTCCTTTGACAGGAAGGACGAACACATCTTCATCCACTCTTATCCTCTGAAATGTTTTAATTCTAATGTTGTTTGTGAACGAACAGGATGTGGTGGTAAGGAGCTCACCAGCGTCTCTGTACTCACCTAGTGGGGCTTGCGGGGGTTGAGCTCTGGCTCTTTGGCCCCGCCTTTCAACTGTCAATCTGTGCGGTTGCGGGTACGAAATCCTCTGGTAGGATGGTACAAGGAAATATTGAACAGTATTCAGGAAGAATCTCCGCGATATTAAGAGAGGTAGTAAAACAATGTTTATATATACCCGGAGGGGTATCCGGCTGGGCTCGGGTCTATCTCCTCCCCATACCCAATTCCCTCCTTCTCTCCCTAATATCCCCCTCCCCTCCTCTTATCCCTGTTTCCCTATCCCTTCCTCTCTTCACCGCCTTCCTTTGTCTTCCCCACCTTCCCTACCCTTCTTTACCTTCCCTACCCCTCACCACTTTTCCTACCCTTGTTCGCCTTCCCTACCCTTTACCACCTACCTTACCTTTCACCACCTTCCCTATCCTTCATCACCTTCCCTACTCTTTACCCCTTTCCCAACCCTTCACAACATGTCCTCTTCTTAAATGAGAAATTAGGATCATCCAATTTTATAGACCAATGCTAAAAAAACTTGCTTTTTGCAAATCAATCACTGACAAGTTGTAATTGAATCATAGTTAGTGAACATGATTGATTCAAGCTTAATAAACATTATTGAACCAAAATAAAAATAAAAACAGTACTGAATCAAATTCAATCAGAACAAGTGACTATCCAGTGACCATTAGCCCAGAGTTGTACAAGAGAGACCCGGCTACTGCTAGCAACCCTGCAAGGACGGTGCTGAAGGGGACATGCTGATCTGTCTATTGGTTGAATTTTGTCAACCCATCTATTGGTTGAATTTTAGATTGTCTATTGTAAAGGATAAATTAAACTGAACGTGGGTTTTGTCCCCCCCATACATTATTTGGCATTTCCACCTCTTAAATTGTCGATACATTTTCAATGCTGCAATATTCTTCTGTTTTGTAATCAAATGCCGTGGCATTTGCCCTTGGTGTAATGCCACCTCTTATAGCCCCACGGTTTCCCACCTGGTAGGTACCTTTCCCGTACAAAGTCCACCAAGTTGGTAAAGTTGCAACATATTAGTCAAAACTGAAGTCGTTATAATATTGACATCTTCTATGCATCGGCCTCGAAAGGTTACATGGGTTGCTTGGGTTTGTACGTTTTTGGCTTGGTTGGGTTAGTGCCAAGAAGAAACCCCCGTGGCTTGGATGGTAGAGCGACGGTCTCAGGTCGGCGTTCAACTCCAACGACCTTCCAAGTGGTTGGGCACCATTCCTTTCCCCCGTCCCATCCCAAAATCTTTATCCTGAGCCCTTAATTCCCAGTGCGTTATAGTCGTTGTGACTTGGCACTTTCTCCTGGTAATTCCCTTCTTTTGGGTAGAGCCCCGAGCAGACTCCGTGACTGAGATAGAGCCCTGAGTAGACCCCATAGGTGGGATAGATGCCCGAGTGGTCCCTGTGGCTGGGGTAGAGCCCAGAGCAGACACCGCAACTGAAATAGAGCCCCGGGACGGAAATAGAGCCCCGGGACGGAAATAGAGCCCCGGGACGGAAATAGAGCCCCGGGACGGAAATAGAGCCCCGGACTGAAATAAAGCCCCAAGAGTCCTTACCGTCCACAGCTTGAGTGAAGTCCGCAATAATGTTCCCTATACCACCAGTTCTCATGCGAGCCTTCTTCAACGCCCCCAAAAAATTATATTGGCCTTGTCACGAACGGCGGTGTGTAGGTACATTATTTTTATACTATATTAGGGCACTGGGGCTCCCAAACACCCCCGGGTCACGCTGCTCTCTGTGTTAGGGGTTGAAGGACTGTCAGGGGTCACTCTGGTGTCTGTGTTAGGGGTTGAAGGACTGCCAGGGGTCACTCTGGTGTCTGTGTTAGGGGTTGAAGGACTGCCAGGGGTCACTCTGGTGTCTCTATTAGAGGTTGAGGGACTGCCAGGGGTCACGCTGCTCTCTGTGTTAGGGGCTGAAGGACTGCCAGGGGTCACTCTGGTGTCTGTGTTAGGGGTTGAGGGACTGCCAGGGGTCACTCTGGTGTCTGTGTTAGGGGTTGAAGGACTGCCAGGGGTCACTCTGGTGTCTCTATTAGAAGTTGAGGGACTGTCAGGGGTCACGCTGGTGTCTCTATTAGAGGTTGAGGGACTGTCAGGGGTCACTCTGGTGTCTGTGTTAGGGGTTGAGGGATTGTCAGAGGTCACTCTGGGGTCTCTATTAGAGGTTGAGGGACTGTCAGGGGTCACTCTGGTGTCTCAATTAGAGGTTGAAGGACTGCCAGGGGTCACTCTGGTGTCTATTAGAGGTTGAAGGACTGCCAGGGGTCACTCTGGGATCTCTATTAGAGGTTGAGGGACTGCTAAGGTCACGAGGAATGACTTGGTAATGTCCAAAAATAACACATTCCTCTGAAATATCGCGTAGGATGGGGATGAAAACAGCTCATAGATGGTTAAAACTGCATGTGTTCTATTAGAAAAGTGGTTAGGATAGGGGACACGAATTAGTGGTAAGCATTACGTTCCTGTGGCATATAATCATCACGAGGAAAATGATAACAAAAAATTGCTCTGGGGAATATACTAAGATTGTATGCTTGTGTTGACAGAGTATGCTTTCCCATAACTTGAATGGAAGGGAAAGGTAGCCTAACACAGCCCGTCCTCATAAATAAAGACCAAAAGTCCATTCCATGCCCCCACCAAGCCCCCTGTTTATGAATGAAAACCGGTTTACACACAACTCATAACTGAGGACGTCCGAACACTTCCAGAACAAGTGCTTCACTGACGAATTTTGTTTGAACCTCAACGCTGTAAACCAACCCGCCCTCGACTAAGTCCATTACATCCAGCGGTCGACCCCACAGACGCATTCATGAATATTTACATGCTGTTCATTTAAAACGAGAATTTTCACAAATATAAGGTGTAATTTATTCATAATTCATAATTTAGTACCTTAGGGTACTAAACCAGGTTTACTTAGTACCTTAGGGTACTAAACCAGGTTTACTTAGTACCTCAAGGTACTAAACCAGGTTTACTTAGTACCTTAGGGTACTAAAACAGGTTTACTTAGTACCTCAGGGTACTAAACCCACCTAAAAACCATACTGCTTCTATCTTAGAATAGAGAAAGAGTCGTTAGCCCACAGTACGAAACGATGCTCAATACCAGAAGGGTACGAAAATGCGCCTGCGAGACGGACCCCCGCGTTGCTATGAGAGCAAAAACGGATGCTTTACCGGGAACCTCAAAACCAGGACAAATAAAACGCACAATTTACCCTTCCTATAACCCCTCTACCTCTCCTTCCCCCTTTCCCTCTCTGGCGACGTAACCCGCGTGTTCTGACCCCAATCCCCGCCAGGTCAAAATATAAGATGCATGGCCTCCGTCGCATTTTGTACTGCTGCGAGACCCTCTCAGGGTCACTCTGGTGTCTGTAATAAGACCTGAAGGGCTCCCAGGGTCACACTGGTGTCTGTATTAGGGCCTGAGGGGCTCCCAGGGACACACTGGTGTCTGTATTAGGGCCTGAGGGGCTCCCAGGGTCACACTGGTGTCTGTATTAGGGCCTGAGGGGCTCCCAGGGTCACTCTGGTGTCTGTATTAAGGCCTAAAGGGCTCCAAATGTCACACTGGTGTCTGTATTAAGGCCTGAGGGGCTCCCAGGGTCACACTGGTGTCTGTATTAGGGCTCCCAGGGTCACACTGGTGTCTGTATTAAGACCTGAAGGGCTCCCAAGGTCACACTGGTGTCTGTATTAAGACCTGAAGGGCTCCCAAGGTCATACTGGTGTCTGTATTAGGGCCTGAGGGGCTCCCAGGGTCACACTGGTGTCTGTATTGGGGCTGAAGGGCCTCCAGGGTCACACTGGTGTCTGTAGTAGTGCCCGAGGGGCTCCCAGGATCACACTGGTGTCTGTATTAGGGCCTGAGGGGCTCCCAGGGTCACACTGGTGTCTGTATTGGGGGCTGAGGGGCCTCCAGGGTCACACTGGTGTCTGTAGTAGGGCCTGAGGGGCTCCCAGGGTCACACTGGTGTCTGTATTG